ACATTGACGATTCCCTGCATGCTTGTGACATATTTGAGAGAAGCTCCACTGGCTGGGTCAGGTGTTTTCAACCACACAGATCAAAATTCATGTCAGTTTCAGAGAGCTTGCTGTTCCGTGACTAATAATCACACACTGTTTTGTTACGGACAGGCAGTCTCCACCATCTCACAGACTTCACACACATACACACACACACACACACACACACGTTGTCTCACTCTGTGAGTATGACTCTGCTTTTTTCTGAATATAATGTGCTGTGACTGTCTTGATGTATTCCACGATGGTCAGCACTTTGCATGGAAGGTAACTGCTGACCATTTAACGAGATAAACCTGTCTCTACGTGGGTTTCAGTCTGTACACAGTGTCAGGCACATAGGTGAATAGAGGCGCAGGAGATTAGAGAACAGATAGAGACGATGATTAGCATTGTTTCCCATACTGGCATGTTGTTGTTGCTGAAACATACCTGTTTTAGTGCGGGCATCACGGGTATAGCCTGTATAGAGGTGGCCGACACGTCCCTTTCGGACTTAGCGGGTTTGGCACAGTACTGCTCCAGCAGGTTTAGGTCACAGCTACGGAAACAACACTCCTCTACAATCCCACGGTTCTGGGGGCGCCGGTTGTTACCCCTGCTGGTTGGCCTACCTGAGGAGAACACAACAAGGGTGGAAGAAGGGCCGTGAGGAGCGTGAGGTTAAGGCCTGAGAACACAACACTGACACCAGCAATGAATCTGGGTTGTTTTCGCAGGATTACTTAGACAATCATAGCAGTCCATGGAGCAAAGAGGATAAAAGGAAATCTATGACCAACTGCAACAAATCTTTTTGTTTGTAGAGGATAATCTGATTAGGGCTATCTGGAAGTCCTTAAATGAGTGAATACACAAGTAAACACCCTGTGCTGTAGACCCAAAAGAGAGTGATGAGACAGACAGTTAAGCTCTCAGACAGACCTTTGGGTGAGCAAATACATAAAATGGTGACTCTTCTGTGACCTTGTCTTTTGTTAAGTCAGCAGAGATAAAGAGGATGAGGAGGGGCAGAGAGGTAGAGAAAACAGGAGAAAACAGACGAGTGCACGGAAAGAGAGAGGATAAATGAGGGTCAGAACAGAAGGAATGAACGGAAAACAAAACAGGAAGAGAGTAAAGACAGAGGAGATAAAGGGATAGAAGAATAAGGGGGGTGGAGGGATAGCATGATGCAGAGAGCAACACTATCCACGGCCAGTAAAGGCCTCGTTTTGAAGTAGGCAAAAGAGGAGCAAAAGGTGGGAGCACATCTATGTTGGCCTAAATTGGATGATATTTCTGATAGGATATAAGCTTCTGCAGCATTGCAGCAGGCAAAGAAACTGTGCGCATACGACATGGCTAATATCCTTTTGAAGGAAAAACAATGTGATTTCTCAGCTGCAGAGACCAATATTTGCTGAAGTTGTAAGTAACTTATGCCGCTAACACTGCAGACTGTACAAACTGAAGCTTATCCAAGAGGGGGATTAACAACCACTACAATGCATTCACATAATGCTTTACAGCTATTCCCCTCATCACTACAATGGAAGCATAATCAGAATTGATGTTAATGATCCATACTCTTAACCTGACATCAAAAACAGCCCCCCTCCCCTCTCCACCACCCTCCTCCAACTCATCAGAGTGGTCGCCTGGTCTGGGAACACTGGTGCTGAGGTGACTGGTATGCCTCTTGGGGTGCTATTACTTTACTGGTAAACAAGCGGCCCATTGTGCCGCGCTGAGTCGTGTGTGCCTTCACAGCTCGCCGGCCTTTCATATGCAATGAGAGGTATGGGCTGTAGGCAGTTTTGTGCACACACAGCCTGGACGAGGTCTTGAGACACACAGCTGGCTATAATCTCCCTCTCTCTCACTCTTTCTGTCTCTCAGTCAATGTGTGCGCGCGCGTATGAGTGTGAGTGCGTGAGAAAGACAAATACCAAACAGGCATACCACACAGCCACAGACAGAGCGATATAGTCTCAGCTATCCAAACAGATGTGCGCGAATGAACAACAGAGAGACTCAACAGAGGAGCGCTGAAAAAAAGCGAAACATGTACGCAGCCCAAATGTGAAAACGTTTAATGATTTTGAACCTACTGAAATAGAAGCCTCTGTCTTCACAGACAAACTGCAGCGCATCCACCAGCTCTCCCCCACACAGCGTCTCCGCCGAGGCTATTTCCACAACGTAGAGCGTCAGGGCCAGTGCAAACAGCAGCGCACGACTGGACGAAGACATCTTCTTGACCTGCAGACAAAAACACATATTGCAGAATAAAGCACCGGATCAACAAATGCAGCCACACATTTGACAAGTGATGCCATAAAAAATCCCAGATGACAGCCAGATGTTTCCTTTCAGTGTGATATAAGAGGGAACATTCTTTACGCATTCACATATCCATGCCTACATAAGATGTAGGCCTACGACTTCCAGTGTTAGTTGCTGATTCTATGTATTTACCTACTAACTACTATGTAAGACAAATGAGGCCCCCCTACCCCCACAACCCCGAGTGTAATCAGCCGCTGTCACTTGGTCGCACCTGAGAGAAGTGCTTATTCTGAAGGAAAAAGTAGAGAGTATCTCTGGATTTCACAACTGTCCATAAGTTGCAAGACCGGCTGCTCGATAGTAAACTATCCTAAAAGCCAGACTCAGCATATATTTCCCCCTTGCTCACCCTGTGGAAAGCTCACTGGCCCTCAGGCCTACCGCCCCCTATCTGCCGATAAAAAGACCAGCTGTTTGCTCCGACTCCAGCGAAATGCTCAATATCCAGACGAGACAAGAATAAAATAGCCTACCTCAAAATCCCTTTTCTTCTATCCTAACAGATAACCTGTTGCACACATGCTTCAAAGCTTCGAGACCGCTCCATGTCATATATGTATCTTGAACTTTCTTTGTTGCATGCAAATTAAGAGATGTCCGGTTGCTCATATTGCACAAAAATGATGCGATCAATGCATCTGCTCAGCCCGAAGCGGTTTTCTCAAACATAAAGCCTAGAAAACATTGTTATAATCCCGCCAAAGGTCTGTCAATACCCGCACAGCAAACCCGGAGAGTAAAACTATTTGTTCCCTCTGGTTACCTTCATTCTGCTGCTCTCCGTTCTCCGGCAGGTGTGGAAAAGTGAGTGGTGTCCGTGTCTTTGCTGGGTCTCCATGTCAGATGGCAGTAGTCAAAGCGTCGGGGGATATTTGGTTGGAGAAATTGCAGGTGAGTTAGTTTCCCAGTTGGTGCGGCTATAGAGATGATATGTGAGAGGCTGTCCCAAAGACCAGGCGACAAACTTCTCAGGGAGAAGTATTATATACTAAAACACGCCCCTTACACCCACACCCCACCCCTCGCTCCTCCTCTCCACGGCTGGTAAAAAAAAATGGTCCAGAGGCGTTTCATGGAAAAGTGCTTAACGGGAGAAATAGCAAAAAGGGAAACAGAGAGTCCCAAAATGTGGAACAATTCCATAGGCATTTTCCACGTTTACGCACTGTAACCTACAATCACAATGTTTACACACAGGACGCAGACTGAACAAGAATAGACGTAGTTCCTCAGACTCCAAGAAAAATGTCAATGTCTCCACCCTGCTGTAATTAAGATTAACATTCAGAGGGGAAGCAGCGAGGCCAAGGTCTTCCGCTGACACAGGTGCAGATGTAGTCACTGGGGTCAAATGTGTCTGACAGTGGAGTAAAGGCTCATTACTAAGGTCTTCCTACCTGAAGGGAGCATAAACTGGGGTTGACACAGAGGAGGAGGAGGAGGAGGAGGAGGAGGAGGAGGAGGATGCAGCCGCAGCAGTGACTGACTGCTGAAGAATACGTTTGGTTAGTGTCAGTAAATGCAGCATCATAGAGGAAAGAGAAAGTGGTGATGAAAAAGATGACATTTGGTGGCTCACAAACTTAAACTGAATTATAATTTAAAAAGCTAATCAATGCATCACTCAAACAGTAGGGATGGATAGAAAAAAAAATTTCATCCAGGTGTTGCATTGGCAGCTTCAAGATAGAGAAAATAGGCTGTATACATCAAGCTCACAAATGTGATTTCACATATAAGTAGGCCGAAGGTTTGTTTTTTTTTGTCTTTTGTATGAAACTGTATGAGGGCCCCCTTATGTAAGTGTGGTTTCTGCAGAAGGTAAGGATTTGGACATGTCTTTAGACTCAGACTGACACCTAGTGGTACGAGTAGTGAACCTCCGTTTGTTTGTCCCGCAGCTTTCAGCAGGTTGGAGGGATTCAGTGTGCCAAGGACTCTGATTCACGGAAGGAGAAATGTCCGGCCACCCCCCCCCCCCCCCACCCCCCCCCCTAAGGTTTGTCCTTTCAAAATGTCTTTAATATCGCATTCATTGTTTCGGCAATATTCATATACAGTACTTTTCTCTATTGTCCCAAATAACTTCATTGGCTATATAAAGGGGATCCATCCGGTGAAGGTGAGCATGTACCGTTAATTAAGGTGTCTGCGATTAATTTAGGTGACTTTCATGCAACACTGTTTCTTCAATGTTAGTAAATAGTATATCTGATTTAAATGTCTGTATTTCTAATGCTTTGTTCTCAATCTACTTCTGTAGACGTTTGTTGTCACTCACGTGTTTATTCACTTGTTTTTTTTAATATCTAATAACGTTGTAAAATATCCCATTGTGGTTGAAGGCGCGAGGAGAGCGTTAAGAAGAATTATTCCTTTTATAGGCTCAATAACAATCTGTGTGATTTTAAGATCAGACAGGTGCCCTCTGCTGGACTGCGCCCTCTTGTGGCAGACCAATGAAACAAACAAAGAAAGAAAAACTACATCATATGTAGCCAAGCATCATATGTTTGTCTGTATGATTTGTGATTTATGTTTGTCTGGTCAGACATGAAATGAACATTAAGGCATAAATCTTTTCCTCAAAAGTTGCTGTACTAAAGTCTTTATAAATTATGTAAACGTGACAGAAAAAAAGCAAGTCTTTATTATTTGACAGATTGTTTTTACTCAGTCAGTAATCAACATTACATTACATGGAGAGTGTGTTATATTATTTATTTTACTATGCATTTACTCTGCAAGACAAAAACAGCATAAAACCCAATAAATCAGCAGATTTAGAGGTAACACGCAAAAACTGAACTCACACATCTGGAAAATAAGTAAACTGGAAAATAAGTTTTTAACACAGCAGATATACTTTTTTCTAAATAAAATTCATCTGATTTAAATATACACTTTAATCTTTATTTTACAGTGATGTTCATTGAATTTTAAAATAATTATATGATACCCATTTAGTTTTCTTTGAATACATTCATTATCACAGTTCTCTTTGATTTTGGTAAAGATTTTGACATATTCCTCAAACAACATATTTTGCTTTAACATAATGAACAAGCCACTCAGTTAACCCCATTATTTCTCAAATGGATCCATACCCAGCGAGGCGTTAAATATCTTTTGAAACTTTGCCTGCACTGCACATTGAGGTTTTAATAGTCACAACCTTGTCAGCCAACAAGCAACAACTCATCAATAACAGCATCATACTGGAGGCACAGCACAGAAATATGAACACATTGGTCTTGTCACACGTGGCACAGCGCAGTGGAGAGGAAGCAAACAACAGCAGGATGCTCACACAGCGGGGCATCATCATGACAAAACACTGAGGGCATCTGTCAGCGTCTTAAGTTCATCCTTCACACACTCAAGGCCTCCTTGGATCTTCAGCGGGTTGTCCAGCACCTCAATGCTGCTGGTGTATGGATCGAACCTCACAGAGAAAGGTCGCTTGATACCGGACACGTACCTCCTTGTAAGAGATAAAGAGGTCAGAAAACAAAAGAAGTACAAACTCATAGGTGAGGTCATCTTGGAGCTCTTCATGAATGTATGTTACAGCTGCCTTGTCTGTCTTCCACTTGGCCAGAGCAAACTTCACTTTAATTGACTAGAACAAGTTCCCCCAGTTGTAGTTTGGCCTGTGATATATGCATATGTACACTTAACAGAGACTAGGATATCCTGCTTCCACATAATAGATACACGATGAAGATATTCATAATGTACTCTATTTCATATTTACTTTGCTTTTACAAACATTCCTATGTTGGTACTGTCTCATCAAGTGTGGTAGAGATGTCATGAATTGTATTCTACTAAAGACCGAGTTCTGTCAAAACACTCACTAAAGCTACTTGTTTTGCAGGGCAACAGTTGATGTGTTTGCCAAATAAAACTCCAACATATTGCCTTGGTAAGGAAGACTACATTAGTAACAGCTGTCTTCTGGCTGCTATGGCTGACCTACAAAAGTTTGTGGCCTCAGGGGTTGGCTGGCTGTTCTCTGACCTTGTCCTCACATAACCCCACTCTCTGTGTATTTTTTTTCTTCTTCTCTCTGTCTCTGTATGTTTTTGAGTATGTGCATATGTGTCCTGTGTGTGTGTCCAAAACAGGAAAGCATGTGTGGTTCAGTACCTGAATTTCTCCTTGGCATCTGAAAAACTCTCAGAAATAAAGTACACAGGCTGGTATGTCTGGTCTTGATAGGGCTGCACTGCCGCAGCCTCTGGATCAAACTCCCTTGTCTCTGGTTCATCAGACAGCGAGTGCTGGATTCAAGTTAAAAAAAACAAAAAACTGTAGAATTAGCTGAAAGCTCAGTGGGCTGTGATTGATGTATTTTATTCAGGGAAAGATTGAACAGAGAGCAGAGAAAACATGCTGGAACGCACCACAAGCTCTCCGTAGGAGGAGAGCAGTCCAGCGCCATAAGCTTTCACCTCGCCATTCTGTTTACATAAGCCATACTCGACAGTGAACCAGTATAGCTGATGAGAAAACCATAAAGAGATTTACTGAGACATTATCTACGTATGTCACATATTAGATAAGGGACTGTACAAAAATGATCAGGTAGGGAGATGGGGTCAGAAAAGGAGATAATGCTTTTTTTTTCTTTTGGCAGAAGGGAGGACAGTCAGGAGAGGGTCTTTAGTTTTTTCTTTCCCCAGATCTTAGTTCATATTTTCTACTGGGATTTACTGAAAAGCAAGTGGTTCAATCAAAAAATTGCATCCAGAAAGTGTCTTTTGTGGACCATGAATCAGGTATGTTATGCCGGATGGAGAAGAAAAAAATCATGTCTTTAAACAGGGATTTATTTTATACTTTATTATCTTGTAGCTGGTAGAGATATAATTTCAGTTTTGAGAAACAGTAGCAGACATTTCTTTTTTTAAAAGGTGCACCACTTTTCAGATGCCAAAAAAAAAAGCATTTGTTATGTTTTTCATTATTTTGGCAATTGCTAATTCCACTCTGAATGTGGAATTTGGTCTACTTAAAAAATATTATTGTGTCAATCTGCGCTGAGTTAAGATTTTAGTGGGGATGTTCTCATTTCTTTCTATGTCAATGTGAGGGTTCAAAGAAAATATTAATAACCCTAGGGAGGGTCTTGCTTTTTAAAAAAGGCAAACATAAGGTTCATTCACTCTCCCACATCAAAAATTGTTGTACAGTCCCCTAGTACTGTTGGAGGACCAGAGTCTTACTGTGGACAGTTTCTCAATATCTTCGTCTGAAGCCCCAAGTGATGCCAGGCCAAGGTTCTGCAGCAAATAATCAATCAATCATTACCAAAACATAATATGGGAAATAATATTCTGCAAGTCTCCTCGACGCTTTCCCACTCACCTGTGAAAACTGTGCGAACGTGCGGTCAGCCAGCATGGGGACGTGGCCCAACAGCTCATGGACACAGTCACTGAAGACAAAGAGAAAAAAAAATAACAAGGAGCAGGAGCACATTTGGTCCAAAGAGAACCAAACTAACTAAACACAGATTTTGTGATCACAAACTGGCAAGTCTATCTGGTTGCATTACAAAACAATGGTTACAGAGTGAAAAACAATAATGTGCCAGTGTGAAACAAGATAAGCGAAGACAGAAGTTCATTTTGTTACAAACTGTCCAAAAAACTAAATGTTTCCCAAATATCCAGACTTTATTTTTTTCCCCTCAAGAAGTCAGTTTATGTAAACTGAAAACTGAAAATATAACTACTTCCATATAAGATTGCTTTTTAATTTGGATTACAATTACAATTACAATAAGTGGGTGATTCACTGTATTTCTCACTTGATTTGATCTGTTATCACTAACTAGTTGTATTTTATTTTTTTTATTCATATGTTCATTGCATTAATTTACTTTATGCTGTCAACAGCATGGCATTCCAATATAGTTTTGTTGAGCTGAATTGAGAGACAAAGTGAGAAAAAAAGGCTAAGCCAAGAACAACATCAGAGCTTGAAGGATGGCAAGCTTATAGAGGTTCACTCAACAGGAGTCACAGTCGTACTCACGGCTCTGGTGAGTGCGTAGGGGAGGAGGAGTGTCGGATGTACTGCGTGCACTGGAACACCCGGAAGGCCAAACTGGCCAGGAAATCTCTGGCTGAGAGCAGACCTGCTACTGGACGCAGCAGGAACCCTGTACGCTCTGTGTGTGTGTGTGCGTGCATGTGTGTGTGTGTGTTGAGGAGGTGATGGATAAAGAGACAGAGAGAAAGGGTCAAACTCTGGGTGCACTAAACATTTGTTCTTGTTGTTACTTATTGTGCACCTCATTATTTCTTGGCCTTTACCTTTGAGGAAGTGTGACACATCCTCCAACTGGGGTATGTTGTCTGCACTGTACCCACAATGCCTTTCCAGCAGATGGAAGGTCTCAAGGTATTCGTTGCAGGCATGTGTGGTATACAAATCCTTCAGAGTTGAGTAGACTTCCCTCCTAATCAGGGACATAAATGCATATTAATTCAGATATCTTTTTCAAACAAAAGTCAAATTAAATGTGGGACTACTCATTTATATCTTGCAATGCACTGTAATTTGTATTATCCTGTTTTTAATATGTTTTTTCTATTTCATTGTATTGTCTCATGTAAAGCACATTGGGTTTGCATTCTTGCTGATAATTGCCACATGAAATAAACTTACCTTGCCCTTCCTTATAAAATCTTAATCGCGTGGACTAATCTTAGGGACGACTTTTCTTTTGACTAAACTGTTCAAGCTACATTAATGATATGAGGGAACCTCCACTGGCTTGTTTTGTTAAACCATTTGCTCCCAGCTCCCTGATATATTTTGTGCTCAGACAAGCTCACACTTGTCAGCATTATAAATGAGTATGCAGCAGCCTTTACCATGTGCCAATCTCCTCCTCTGTGTATTCCACTCTGGGAATCGGCTGCCCACTGAGGAAAAACATATACACCGATATATCAGGAATAATCATATATACGTTTTTTTTGTCTGTTTTTTTATTTTTATGTGGGATGTCTGTGCAGTATTCAGACTGTATCTCACTGTCTGTATCTGAAGGCGATGTCTCCAATCATTCTCCTCCTCTCTCTGTAAGCAGGGTCTGTGTAGCCCTGTTCAAATCAAATATATCAAACTCTGATCACATTGTCTGTGTCGTGACATATTATTCCAACAGCATAACCAGCCTGGTATTAAGAATTATTTCTCATCATCATCATTACTTACAGGATGGTCCTGATCCAAGTCTGGATCAAATTTTGTGACCAGATGATGACATTTGTCCAAATCTGCTATTTTCTTTGGGAACCAATGAACTAAAAGAGAACAGGGAAACAAACGGCCAAATTTACTTCAGTGCTGTTTTTTTTAACATGTTTTTTATAAAAGCAGAAAAAAAAGGTTGTTACATTTGACTTCTTTGGTGGTTTTAACATCCTCTGCGTTTCTCTTGATGGAACTGATAAGAGTACTGACGTCAGAGAGGTGCACCTCACAGCGAACAAAGTACTCCAGGCCTTCCAGGCTGTCCTTGAGCTTCCGGCATGGTCGCGTCTCCAAATGGTGAATCTTAGCTTCAAATGTCTGAAACACAGTCAACACACTGAAATATGACTCCTGCAGCAGTACTGGATTACATTCAAAGTATGACAAAGGTGGGATGCAATAATGCAGCACCATATTTGATATGAAAAGGTGTATTTTTAACATTTTTAACCTCTAACATGGTTATTAGCCAAATGACAAGGATGTACAATTTTGTATAATAGCAAGGTAAACAGTTCAGTAATGCAAAAAGTTTGTTACACGTACAACAGTATAGTATAGAAATATCCAACACAAAATTGAGTGGAGCAGAAAATTAAATGTATTTCAATGTGTCATGCTTTCTAAGTCAATCACAATTAAATTGATCTTAAGAAATTATCTCTTATATATTTCACTGTCCAGTGAATGAGATACAGCATGTGGGATTTAATATGCTTCCAAACACCCTTTATAGAGGGACCTAATGAGTTTATAATCGGTTGATAAATCATTTACATATCAGTTAAAAGTCATTAATAGGGACATCTTTTGGGTTACCAGGTTGTGAAAAATTCCTTTGACTTACCCAAGGGCATCACTTTGTGTTGAAAAAATGGTGGGGACAAAAGGGCTCAGATTAGGGGAGTGATTATTAACTTGGATAACAAAAAAATGCTGCTGGCAGGTGACAGTTCATAAATATACATAAATAATGCTGTAATCAGCAGCTTGTGGGGTTTTTTTTTGCTTAAGTTACTTTTTTGGACAATGCACATTTGTTTCTTTTATATTTAAATTGCATTGCATGTTTTCTTATCGTGCAAATAAACCCTTCATTTGTTAGGTAACATTTCTTGGTACAAGCTCTTTTTCAGAACATTCTTAACAAATGCTTTTTTTTAAAGTCATGCGGACAACATTAGCCGTTTCAAAACGTGGCGGGACGTGTCCACAGCGTCCCCAGTGTAAATGACACCTATGGACTTACCCCGTGGAAAAGGACTGCAGACGATCTGGACCAAAATTCATTTTATTTTTAACATGTATAACTGCGGACTTGCTTGGATATCAGAGAGTGAGAAACCAATGAGCCTATTAATATATTAATATACATTTATAACTTCATTGTTTCCAAATGGACAGAAATACACCAACCAGTGAGATTTTTCACAACCTAGCAAAAGTAGGTCTTACTAACCATCCAATTCATTAAAAGTCATGTTTAAAGCATTAGTAAACGATTAATTAACCATTAATTAAGCTGTGCGCTACTGAGCCTTATTAAAAAGTGACATCCCCACACACCCCTTTTTTCAGATTTATCAGATACCCTAACAAGTACCATTGTGATACCTCGAAAACTTTGAGAGTCCGCGACAGTGCAGGTGTCTTGGAGCTTCTTAAAGTGAAGAAGATGTTGAGCAGCGCTTTACCATCGTCCTCCTCAAAGACTATCTGCTCGCTGGCGGCTGCAGCCTCTGCCGCTGCAGCGGCGGCTTCCCTCTCCTTGCGCGCGTCCTCGATCAAGCTTTGCCGCCTACCCACGTATCTTGGAGACTGTTCAAAAAGATGCCTTTATTTAATCCATGTCAGAGCACACAAACACAACAACAGAGAGGGGTAACTGCTGGGATTTTCTTACCCTTTTCTTATCTGATGTCAGCGCTTTACATCTCCAAATGCGCATTAGAACTACAGCGCAGTAAGGGTGAACCTACCACACAGCTACTGAGTTGCTGCCACAGTTCACATTTTAGCTGATGTTTGTGGTTACTTGATACATGCTTTTTTCTATGTGGATATGATCTAATGCGCATCAGACATCGCTGCTGTGTAATGGGCACCTCTCCAAGCCCTCTGCGCGAAATACAGCCGATCTGAATATGATTTAGACATATCGCTGGGAACACAATTACATATGGTCAATTATAACCGAATCTAAAAATAAATAAACACCTGGCTAATGTAAACCTCTCTATATTTCTTACCGTGATGGAGTCAGACCTCTCCAGCTCGGATGCTGCTCTGCGGATGCTCTTTGTGGAGGAAGTGGAGCTGCTTGAAAGGGGCATCTTTAGGCTCAGAAGTCTTCTGTTTGCCTGTCAAAGTGTGACTGAAGTGATAGCGTAGTTGTAGCACTCTCTAGACCTGTGCGCCCAGAGCTTTTTCTTTTTATAGGGTCATTTGTTTGCAGTTTCTGACGTCAAACACGTACATCTTGCTTAAATCAATCAATGCGCAGAATCTATCAGACACATCCCAACGTGGAGCCGTCTGTACATGTATATGACCTTTAAAGCCTACACACACTGAGGATTTAAGTTGAAACAGCCAGCGTTTTCCTAATGTTTGGCACATTTTCAGTGGTCTTCAAAAAATGTGTTGTTGAATTTACTACATTTGTACTGAACAATTTAAAATTATTAATATTTTGCACAGATTTTATATATATATATATATAACAAATATACCTATATATTCTTAATTCCTGTTCATATGATTAACATTTACATGGTGAAGATGTGTAGTAATAACCACCTGTTGGGTCCACTGTAGTCATCTTTAGACAATAATCAAAGCTTTGACCTCAGGGCTTTGCATAAAGGTTAGACCAGAGAAAAGTCAACTGTGGAAAATTAAGTCACTTTATCAGCTCAATTCAATCTCCACAGCTCTTCACAAATTAGATTTGATTGTGGTAAAAACACACACACACACACACAAGAAGGAAAGAGAGAACAACACGTTGTTTTTTGGGGGGAGCACTCTGTTTCTTACCTCAGCAACAACCACATCAAGTGAATTTGTACAGCTTTTGGCTGCTGACTTTGGTGGTTAACATGATTGTGAAGTGATTTACAGTGCCCACAGGCGAGTAGAGGTAAAAGGATTATCTGTAGACCTCTGGCCACATGCTGCCACAGCAGCAACCTTGCATGGGTGCAGAGAAGGCAAAGGGGCCCCAGTGTGACTCTTCCCCCAACCTGAACACAGGCTGAAAATATTAAAGAGCACTGATGTAGCCCCGGGCACAGACAACGGTAGTTACGTCCTTGATTGGGGGACAACAGAGTGGGCATGAAAAAAGAAAGATAAAACAAATAGACAGTAAGATAAAAATCACCTTTGCACCTTGTTTAAGCCTATTTTCTGCATGGAAACATATCTTTAGAAAAGAAGCTTTGTTATGTTTTTGTTATGTTTCTTTGCCTTATCTTGACCTTTTTTTAAAGTGGCATGACATCAAAGACTGAGCAATAGGTAGAAGCTTGACATTTATTCAGAGATAGGAACAAATATCAAGTTTGTGGTTTGTTCCATCCATGTCTTTCAAGCAGTTTTTTTTAACAAACAGAAATCTTACAAATGACTCTTCTGGTTGATGTAGATCATGAGAACAATTAGATTACTTGCTGTCATATTAATTCACAAATGATTGAGGTTCCCCCGAAAAACATGTTAAAATGGCCAGAAAACATTTGCCAGATACATCCATGACTACAAAATTGAGTATCTTTTCAAAATGCATTCAGGAAAAAGGCATACAATAAACAATTATATTCCAAACCACGAGAGACCTAATGATTGTATAGCAGCGCAAGTTTATTCAACTTCAACCACATTTGGAGTCTGAGAAAGAGCAGCAGAGCTACAGGCTGAATCAGGATCAAGATAGACTGATATCAATCCAACTCCTCCTTTCCAAATGTCTGCTTTCCTGTGTCGGACCACTTTATCAAGACCATAACCTATAACTGGTTATTTAAAAATGCAAAAAATCGTGGGTAAAATGCAAGTTGATAAAACTTGCAGGTTAATGCCTGAATTAGACTGTTTTCCATCATGCTTTGTGCTATGAGAGGAACTGGAGCATGAGAATGAAAGACATGGGCTCTGAATGTGAAAACAGTCACGATACTGTTAAAGTTACAGTCCCAAATAGAAGTTAGGACTGATAAGGGAACCTTATATAGTTATCTCAACTGCCTTGAGCTTGCTGCTATAAAAGTGCAAGTGTATTCTTGGCCAAATTTCCAACTTGAGAAACCAAATGATCTCAGAAGCCACATATATTTCTTGAAAACCTTGGTCCTCAGCTGTTGTGGCCATTGCTGGAGAAAAGGAAAGAGGTGCCATGACTTCCAAAACTGACCGAGGCTCTAAAAGTTATCTGTCCATCCGTACATGACCACGAAACAATAGAACGTCTTGGGTTACGTATGTAACCCTGGTTCCCCGAGAAGGGGAACGAGACACTGCGTCGGTTATGACACTATGGGAACGCCTCTAGGCGTAGCAGGTCTGAACGTGAATGAAATCACTCCAATCCTATTGGTTTGTTGCTAGAACGGTAAGGTGTGACGGAATAACCGGAGGAGTATAAAGCACACCTGTACACACTCATCATTAGCTTAAACTATGAAGCAGGCGCTTCAGGCGGGGAGAGAGGTGCGGCGGGCTGACGCAGTGTCTCGTTCCCCTTCTCGGGGAACCAGGGTTACATACGTAACCCAAGACGTTCCCCTTCGAGGGAACTCGAGCTGCGTCGGTTACAACACTATGGGAACGAGATACCCACTAAACCGTGCCGAAAAACCCTGCCTGCCCCAGTGTGCAATAAAGTGGCACGACTAAGAGGAGAGCGCACGAGTGCCAGGTGCCGAAGGAAGGTCAAGACTGTAAAAAAGAATGAATGTGTGCGGAGTGGCCCAGCCAGCCGCTACACAAACATCCTGCAAAGAGGCCCCGGAAAGGAGGGCTCGAGAGGCCGCCATGCCTCTGGTAGAATGAGCCCTCACAGCCACTGGTGAAGGCAAACCGCGCACCTGATAGGCCAGGGAAATAGTCTGAACAATCCAGTTGCTAATAGTATGTTTGGATGCAGGGAGCCCAGCCCTGGGGGACCCAAAACACACTAGCAGCTGGTCAGCCTTCCTCCAACAGGAGGACCTCAGAGTGTAAATACTCAGTGCTCTGACAGGGCAGAGCAGATGAAGTCTCCCGTCCTCCGCCGTCATATGAGGTGGAGGATGAAATGCCTGCAGCACTGTGGACCCTGCTGCACAAGAAGGCACTTTAGGGATGTATCCTGGACGAGGGTGCAAACTCCAGGCTTTGCAGGGAAACCGAAAGTGCTTGGAGATCCCCCACCCCCCTCAGAGAGGTGATAGCAAGGAGAAAGGCCATCTTGAGGGTCAAGTGCTTAGCCTCAGCTGACTCCAGGGGTTCGAAGGGGGCCTCAGCCAATGCCCCAAGAACCACCGCCAGATCCCAAGTGGGAACCTTGGACCGAGTCGCAGGTCTCATCCTCCGGGCACCACGGAGGAAACGTACAACCAAGGGAAGTTTCCCCAAAGACCCCTCCCTCAGAGGGGCGTGAAAAGATGAAATAGCTGCCACGTACACCTTGAGGGTGGAAGGGGAAAGACCAGCAGAGAACCGGTCCTGGAGGAACTCAAGTACCTGAACCATTGGGCAGGTAACTGGGTCCACCGACCGCTCCCTACACCAAGTGGAGAAAACACTCCACTTCAGGCCGTACATCCTCCATGTGGACGGGGCCCTGGAGCTGAGGAGGGTCTTGACTGCTCCGGCTGTTAGACCCGCCTCTAGGTACTGTGACCCCTCAGGGGCCAGACCCACAGTCGCCATACGGTGGGGCAAGGGTGAAGAACCCGGCCCTGCGCCTGGGACAGCAGATGTCCGAGAACCACACCCGGGTTGGCCAGAACAGGGCTATGAGCAGTAGGCTGACATTGTCCCGGCGAACCCACTCCAGAACCCCCGGGAGCAGAGCGACTGGGGGAAAAGCGTACAGATGTAGCCTCGGCCACGAATGTACCATGGCGTCCAGACCCAACGGGGCTGGAGAGAAAACCATAGCGGGCAGTGCGTAGTCTCTTGAGACGCAAACAGATCCACGTCTATGGGGCCGAACTCTCCGCACAAGAGCTCCACCACTTCGGGGTGAAGTCTCCATTCCCGGGCCTCAGCCCCTGCCTCGACAGCAGGTCTGCTCCCTGATTCTTCGTCCCCGGGAGATACATCGCCCTGAGCGATAGTAACCTCTGCTGGGACCACAGGAGGATCTGACGCGCCAGTCTGTACAGAGGGCGCAAGCGCAGACCGCCCTGGTGATTCAGATAGGCCACCACCGCTGTGTTGTCGGAACGAACCAGGACGTGGTGGCCTTGGAGATCGGGCAGGAAACTCCTTAGAGCCTGGAACACCGCCAACATCTCGAGACTGATGCACCTGCCAGGATCCCCTTGCAAAGCGGCCACCCATGACCGCGCCCCAGCCTGTGAGGGAGGCGTCTTTCGAAATGACCAGCCGGTGACAAGACCCTCCCAGCATGGGCCCCTGGGACAGGAACCAAGTTTCCTTCCAAACTGATAGGGAACGAAGACACTTGCGCGTAACCCAAATCAGACGGAAAGGATTTCCCCTCGTGGAAAAAACCTTGGTCCTTAGCCACCACTGCAGGGGTCTCATGTGCAGCAGTCCAGATGGTATTACGCTGGACGCAACACTCGTTGAAAGTGTTTTATAGTGATGGCGTGGCCTAACTTCACCCCTTTCACGGCAGCCAATATGGTGTCGACACGTGCCGGAGACAATTGTGCCCACATCGTTGTCGAATCCCATACTACCCCTAGGAACGTAGTCCGTTGGGGGGGCGCCAGCACACTCTTCTTTGCGTTGAGCCTCAGCCCTAAACACAGCAGATGAGCCAGAACGACATCTCGATGCCGAACTGCCAACTCTCGAGACTGGGCTAGGATGAGCCAGTCGTCGATGTAGTTGAAAATCCGGATGCCCTGGAGCCTCAGTGGGGCCAGTGCTGCATCCATACACTTGGTGAATGTGCGAGGGGAAAGTGCCAGGCCGAATGGAAGAACCCGATACTGGTAAGCCACACCCCCGAAGGCGAACCTCAGGAACTTCCTGTGAGAAGGACGGATGGAGACGTGGAAATAGGCGTCCTTTAGATCTATCGTGACGAACCAATCCTCAGATTGGATGTGCGTCACGATGGCGGGGATGGTGAGCATCTTGAACCTGAATCTCCTCAGAGACCGGTTTAGAACCCGCAGATCCAAAATAGGGCGCAGCCCTCCGTCCTTCTTGGGGACTATGAAGTACCAGCTGTAGAACCCGGCGTCTCTGTCTGGGGGGCAGACACGTTCCACGGCCCCTTTCCTCAGCAGAGTAAGAACTTCCTGTCCCAACACCGGACCTTGCTCCAGGCGGACCACAGTCCAAACCACCCCGTTGAATTTTGGAGGGCGGGTTTTGAACTGTAGTCGATACCCATCTATGGCAGTGCGCAGGACCCACGGAGAAATGTTTGTCAGTCCTCAGATTGCGTCTCTCAGAAGGCTGAGGTTGAGAGCGCCGCCTCGCTGCCCCAGCTCCTCGGGGGGGCCCCCGAGAAGCAACACTCTGCTTCCTCTCCCCCTCGGTAGGAGCTCGTAGAGGGAAGGGACCTACGCCTGGCAGCCTCAGCTGCCTTGGGTCCAGACCGGCGAGATAGGTACTGGCGGAACTCTTCGCCCTGCGTCTTAACGCTTTGTGGTTCTGCGAAGCTCCGCCAGATCTTCCTCAGAGGGACCCCCCCTCTGAACCATCTCCTGTAGCAGGTCGGCCTGGTATGCTTGAAGCACCGCCATGGTGTGCAAGCTCGCACCTGCCTGGCCTGCTGCCATGTACGCCTTCCCCACAAGCGTAGATGTGGTGCGACATGGCTTGGAGGGTAACGCCGGTTTCTCCAGGGAGGACGCAAGTCGAGGGGAGAGATAGCTCGCAAGCGCATCCTCCACCCGAGACATCCTCCCATAACCACGGTCCCTAACCCCCATCACATTACTGTAGTTCAGTGATCAGGGTGTGGAAAGCCGTGTAGAGAAGGGTCTGCCCCATGATTTACTCAGTTCATCATGTAAATCAGGAAAGAATGGCAGAGACCGGCGTGGAGGTGGCGCGTGGTGCTTAAGAAACCTTTCATCAAGCTTACCACTAGCCTGTGGTGTCTGCTCCTCCTGTGGCCAGTTGATGTTGAGCTTAGCCACGGCTCTAGTCACCACCTCCAGCAGCTCGTCATAGTCGGGCGCCGCCTGATGACGCCGCCCCGACACCCGGAAGTCATCGTCCACTGTTCTGAGCACGTCCACCTCCTCGGAGTCGGATTGCTGCAGCGTCTCCGGATCCAAACCACGAGCGGGAGAAGCCGAGAAACGGGCTCCCGAACGAGGAAAGGAAGCGTTGGAGCCAGCGGATGAAGGTCGGGAAAAAGCCTCAGCCGTCCCGAAATCCTCCGACAGATCACGCTGTGAACCCCATGAGTGAAGCCGCTGGGCCGCCTCAGCGGCCGCAGGGCCCGCACCACGGGGAGAACACATCCGGCCATCCTCAAAAAAGAGAGCCAATCAATAGGATTGGAGTGATTTCATTCACGTTCAGACCTGCTACGCCTAGAGGCGTTCCCATAGTGTCGTAACCGACGCAGTTCGAGTTCCCTCGAAGGGGAACTGTGAGCACAGTGCAGACAGCCATTTGTGATTACCGTGTTGACTCATTTTAGTTAAATAGATATCAGTCTCTGCAAATTTACAGTAGCCTGTGTGAGATAGTGCAGCGTCAACGTGAAATTTCGCAGGCTTCACTAAAATATATGAATGACTTTAGAAAAAAACATTTGGCTATAAATGATTGTAAAAATGAATAAACGTCGACAATAATTTTTTTGTGTTTGTTATTGTTACTTTATGAAAAGTTTAAAAGAAATATAATTTTAATCTATGGTTTAATCTGGCCTTCCAAGTCTATGAGTTATTCTACAAAATGTGTGCCATTTCCACTTTCCTGTTTCAAAATTCATTTCACCGAGAGCAAACTTTTTCTTTTTTTTTTTAAACCTACAACAATTGAAAGATATGTTAATCCTTTATTCAGGCATGACAGTCATTCTTGGACCACTCCGTCATGGACAATATGAACACCATTTGACTAATAATACAAGAAATAGACTTTAAAGATCTAAAGTTATCCTACTAGTTTAATGTCTCTTTTTTGGAAACCATCAATAGCAAATATGTTATTTAATCATTTTTGTATTATTAATTATTAATCTTGAAATATGAATTCCACATATCAATGGCCTCATTTCTTTGCACAAAAATACTAATTAAAAGTTACATTTATTTGATTAGTCCACAAAACAAGAACTTTTTTTTTTACAAAATCACGCTGTGGCAGGGTGGTAACTGATGTAGCAGG